CCTGTAGTCCCAGCTACTTGGGAGGCTGAGGCAAGAAAATTGCCTAAACCTAAGAGCTGGAGGTTGCTGTAAGCTGTGATGCGGCAGCACTCTACCAAGGACGACAAAGTAAAACTCTATCTCTTAAAAAAAAAAAAAAAGAAAGAAAGAAAGAAATCATAAGCAAGTCTCCATTTTTGCCCAGCCAGGCAGAGCCTGAGCTATACCAGTGGGCATTGGTAAAGCCATACCAGTTCCTACCCTGTGCCCCACTGTGCCCTTGTCCATCCACTCTCTTTTGGTACCTTCTGACCTCTCCAGTTCAGCAGCTAAAGGGTTAACCCTTGCCCCAGTGGGGGGCCTCTGGGTGCTGCTCTTGCCTCCAGAGCTGGCTGTCCCTGAAGACTGGTTTAGGACTAGAATCATTCTTACTGTTTTTAAATAGCTTGAATGTCACCTCCAGATGAAGCTACCCAAATGGAATGAGGCATCTAAACAGAAGAACCACGTGGGGTCCATCTGGGGTGGCTCCCCAGAGGACACATCTTACAAAGGAAATCTGAAGGGGTAAGAGAGGCAATTTAGTGGCTGGGAGAGTGAGGGTTTGGACAAAGCTCTGATTAAGGAGCAATTCTCCTGAGGCATGCTAGGGTTTCAACACAGGGTTCAGAGTGGCCTGCACATTCCTCTGCCCTGGGCTGCTCTCCAGGCCCCTCCCCTGCCACTGCCCCTGAGGAGAGCCTAGCAGCCAATGGCCACATTATTAATACGTCTTGATCTCCTAGATCCCCTGCGGTTCCCCTCCTCCCCCCTTGCACTTGCTGGGGGCTTATGCTCCTAGACAACACGTGCGGGGAAGAATGCAGGTCAGAACAGCCACAGCCGCAGAGGATGCCCAGCAACCCGCCAAAGCCTCCACCCAACAGGGTCGCCAAAGGTCATCTATGCAGGGAGGAGGGGGCAGGAGGGCTCACCGGATTTAGATATTTTGTGGGGAAAGAGGGTCAATAACTTCTGGGAAATGGTTTCCCATATCTTGAGACCGTGGGGAAAGAGCTCCTTATCTTCACCTCAGTCTCTCCTATTCAAGCAAAGAAAGAGCAAACTGTGGCAGGGAGGCCAAGAGAGGGAGGGAGCCACAAAGCCCATTCACCTCCCCTACACTGCAACAGAAACCAGGGGCCGGGCAGTTGTGGGTCAACAACAGGGCTCTGCCCTTACCAGATGACAGACCCTGGGTGGGTTATTTAACCTCTCGGGGACATTTTCTTGCCAATGGAATAGGGCTGACAATCATAACTCAGAGTCTTTTTGAAGACTGAATGAGGTCATGTGAAGGGGTCTGTCCACATAACTCCTGGTTCCCTTCTCCTTCATGGTATTAGGCCAAGAAACAAAAATTATCTCTTGCCCATTCAGAATCATAAACTAAGCTTAGGTGTTTTCCTGTTGTCTACATGCTTTCTCCC